GTGGCCTGGCAATTGTGTTTCCCACATAAATTTCAAATCTCCCCACCTCTCCTAACCAGTGGCCACTACCCTGCACTGGGTCACTGATTACTGAAAAACTCCCTGCCCAAGGTTTTGCCTGCTTCCAATACATTTGGAAAGGAGCACGTAAAACAATTTTTCTAATGTACAAATCCCAGTTTCTGGGTACCTTTCAAATATAGTCAATTTTCAGGGTCAATTGCAAGAGGCCACGGCGTGACAACTCCTTTAGGTCTCTCTAGCTTACCTCTTATCATTTTTCTCTTGGAAGCCTATGTTTAGGTTTGAATTAAATTGATTTCCCCCCTCTGAGACAGTGCTCTGCCTGGCTGTCAGGCTCTACTGTATGCTGTTCCCCTTTATGTGGACCATTCTTCCTTCTTTGCTCAGCTGAGGCCCATTGCTTATCCATGTGCCAATGTGGAAGCCCCTCCCTCTGGGCCTTTTCTCTGATACCAGTAACCCTCCAAAATCTTGAGGAGAGGCTCATTTTATGCATATCTTGTTTGGTCCATCACAGGGCCTAACATTTGGCATATAATAACTTGTTTATGATTTCTATCAACTCTCCAGGGGAAGGAAAGATGAAAAAAATCAGAGAGGTAGAACATCGTGAGTGACTGGGTGCTTTGTCCTTGTTACCGTCTGAGTCAGGGCTCAAGATGGTACATGATGTGGCCAGACGAGGGAGGGATTCCCCAGCAAGTTTTAAAATCAAGGGACAGGGATCAAGTCTCTTGATGACTGAATGATAAAGGAAAACAAATGCTGCCTCAGCTTTTGGTATTTTTCATCTGGAATTTCCAAAGTTGAAACCCATCCTCTATAACCATGTTAAGTAACTTTAGCAAGGTGAACAAAACCTCAGCCACAAGCCACAGGTTCTCGCCTATTGGTAAAGCCTTCTTTTAAAACAGGACAGCATCTGCCAGGCAGAATAGCACTTTTACAGAAGCAAGTGACTAAAACTGTAAAAATTATTGTGATTATGTCTCCAAATAATTGAAATTTATCATATTCTATCCCTAAATTCTTCTACAAAATCTCAACAGCATCTCCCACATAGCTTTTGATCTCCCATGCAAGTATTTATTATATACTTGCCTGGGAAGAAACCAAAATAAATATTTTTATTTCACCCCATTTTTAGGTAGAAAATATATTGCTGGCCCTAAGTAGAGATGAGACAAAAGAGGCATAGGAAGGTTAAAAGCTCCTCTGTCTATAAATGGCATCAATAGCAAAAGAATAGCAGGATTCTATATCAGGGAGAGCAAATCTGGGCTCGGGCCACACCTAGATCAGGGAGCGAAGGGTCTTCACCTCTGACTGGTTACAAGAGGCTACATTAAAATGCCATATTCCTTCAATGGCCCTCCCTAAAGTTATCCAGTCTTACTTTGTCACTACTGCTTCTAATGTCTTCTTTTCATATCTTCCCAAGAGCATACCCATGAGGGATAATCAAGGCTAGCCACATTCAGTCAAGACTCTTACAAGAAGAAAATATGATGCCTTACATGAAGCACTAGACACAGATCCAGTGCTTACTCAGTATTGGTTCTGCCCCACTCCTTCCTTTCCATGGCCCTTGTCTTACTTACTGATATCCGATGTCACAAAAATCTCTTTTGTCCATGTGAAAGGACTGTGTATTTCTGACACGAAGCAGGCAGTCCATGGATACATTACAGCCTATCCCAGCAGTGTGAATAATGATGGCGTATTTGGCTGGGAGGTTCATTTGAGGGCAGTGGGTCTCTCTGGCTTCCCAGGCGGATCGTGGAATGATGTTGGGACAAGCTGAGATGCAGTGAAAAATCACGAAATGAGACTTTGTCTTTGAAATTTGTGAGCAGTCACAGAACCACAGGCTGGGCTGGGCCTCAGTCTCTCCCCAACGTCCAGCACACACTGGCACTTCCTAACGAACGTGACGGTAGGGGCCTGGAAAGTCCAGGTGAGGAGGTATAAGGCAGGTTCCTGGGGCCACAGGATAGGACACCGATAACTATAGAAACCAGGAGATAAGTGGAATGGGCTGTTGGCCAGGCAGAGTTCTAGTCATTTTCTTCAAAAGACAAGAATTCCTGCAAGTTTACAATTCATTACAAATACATTATAAAATATGTGTTTTGGAGAACAGGACTGGTAGGAAAAGATTAGCTCTTTCCCTGAACTCATAGCATGCATATGAAAATATTCTGAAATCTATAAAATAGTCTACAAATATTAAAGGTATTATTATGGAAGACTTTATCAGCCCAAAGGCAAGAATAACTTTACTTAGAGATTTATAATGTTGAAAAGCTAATTAAAAATATTACTTGTGGGTCTGGAGAGATGGCTCATTAGAATAAGCGCTTCCCTGACAAGCACAAGAGCTTGAGTTCAATCCAAAAAAAAAAAACAAAGGATATTTAAAAAAAATACTACTTGGTCCTAGCACAAATATTTAGACTACTGATAATGCTTATTAATTTTACTGCTTTTAAGTTGTTACTTGTTCTCTTCAAGACAGTACATTGTTTTTTTTATTACTTAGCTTCTTGGACTATTCACTATGATATCAACATAATGTGTGAAATCAACCTTTTCTCAGTGCTGTGGCCATTTACATATTGGCTGGTTCTTGCAGTTAAAAGTGTGTGTGTGAGCATGTGTGTGTGTGTGTGTGTGTGTGTGTGTGTCTAAATACAATACGGTCACACAAATACATATATTTAATCACACAAATATGTAAATGTGTTTATTCTGCTCCACTCCTCTGCATCAGCTCCATGGTTTATGTGTCATGCAGCATGTATTTCACTTGTTGGTTCACTCATTTCCTGACTTTCCTCACTGAGGCACGAACTCCCTGAAGGTGAGGAGTTCTGTCTGCTTCGTTCACAGCTGTGTGCTCTGCATCTTGATGAGCACCTGCCAGTCAGTCAGTATTTGTTGATGGAAAACCTGTGCACGTGTGTACACACACACACACACACACACACACACACATGCATGCACAAATGTTTGTGTTAAGAATTAGTCAGTAGAAATGTCATTCTAACGGGATGGAGAGAAGTCCAGGAGAGTGCCTTCTCAGAGCATCCTGGATCCCAAAGTCAGGAGAAAGAAGCCCACAGTATCCAACAGGAAAGAGCACTCCTGATACGGTCGTGTGAGGATCTGTAGGAGACTGAGCCGGGCCTTACCTTTACTGGGTATCACTGGGTGTTGAGAGTCCAAGCAGATTTCTTCTTTCAAGAGATGTGGCCGAATATACCTGGGTGACAGGCGACCACTCTGAATGGCGTAGAAGATCAGGCCCTCTGCAGCTGATGTGGCAGCTGTACTGGGACTGCTGCCTTGAAGAGGAGGACAGAGAACACAGCACTGTCATAAGAGACTCCAACCAGGACTAGATTTTGTGGGGAGGACAAATGCCCATCTGCACACAAGGGGTAGCAGGTAGAAAGAGAAGACACTTCTCCAAAGCCTAGGACAGGACATGTAGGATACGTGAACTACTTGGACAGAGTTTTTTACTACAAAATATAGATTTCATTTATCAACTCCAGCTCTACATGGAAAGGTCGGTAACAGGAGACCCGCCTGAAGAAGCCAAGTATGCTTCAGCCCAGGAACAACGCAACAGTATTCACTAAGTAGTTGTCATGCTCAAGCATGGGCTAACCTCTCCATGCCCATTAGCTCATATAGTTCTCACAGAAAACCTCTAAGAGAAATGCTACTGCTAATCCTGATTATCAAACAAGGATATGGGAAGGTGTCAGTTGTCTATTAGCTCTCAACTCTGTCCTTGCTCTGTGCAATTTTCTGTTGCTCAGTAACACAGAAGCCAATAAACTACATCTCCCAGAATTCCTAGCCTTCCAGCTCCTGGTTAGTTTCTACCAATAGAAGACATTGGAAGAAGAGATAATCCTTGCTTTTCTGCCTCTGGTAGCCGGAGTAGCGATGGCAGGCAACGTCAGACTCCAGAAGTGGTGGCAGTAACTGAGCTCAAGCAATGTCCATCCATGATGGCTTCAGCAATATCACAGAAGAGCAGATTAGGAAAGAGAAAGAGGACAATTCATGTCATAGAGCCCAATGAGAAAGAACTTCAAAAGGAAGATGATTATTAGTGAAGATGAATATGATGTAGGCTGAAAAGATAAGACTTGGGGGCGGGGAAGAATGCAGACCATGCTCTGCCAAAGGGTTCACAGGAAGGACCATTACCTATCTTACTGCCAAAGAAGGCAATTCCCAGGGAGATGCTGTTGTAGCCTGGAGTGTGCAGGCCTTGGACATCCCAGCCAACACCTTCATACACCCTGCCATCGTCCCCAACCAGGAAGCTGCCAACCAAGGAAATTTGCATAAAATGATAAATCTCTATAGCAGAACATTTCACACTGATCCTCAAAAGGTAAACAGGGCTCTAGAGGCTTGTAAATAAGCACTCTGCTTCAATAATCTAATAATGGGGAAGAGCGGAATAACAAGTTTTAAACCTCCAAGAGACATAAAATTTAGAGGTAAGTTTCTGGAATCACTTGAAAATATGTGGCTGAAGTGGGTGGTACTGTAGCGGAGGTAGTAGTGGCAGGGGCAGCAGATAGGCTGAAGTTAACAGTCAATACAGCATCCACAGGGGGAAGGCAAGGTAGGCCTACCATTGTGAGAATTATCCTTTCCAAAATGACTACTGAGAAGGCATTTTCTCTTTGTCTTTAACATTCTGGTGATGGGATTC